CAGAGGAGCGTGGGGCCTCCCGCCCGCCCCTTCCCCCTACCGATCCCTTCCCTACCTGATCCGGCTGCACAGAAGATGGTGTCTCTGCTCCATCACACTGAAGGGAAGTCCCAGGATAGCCAACCAACATCCTTCCAGTGCCTGTGAGGGGGACAAAGGAGGCGGGAAGATGTTTAGCCTGTTCACCACCTGGCCCAATCCCAGATGGCGGTCTTCACCTTTAAAGCCCTTGGCACCCTGGGACTTGTCTGCCTCAGAGATGACTTTCTCCCCCAGACTTATTTTTGCTCAGGAAAGAAATCTAGAGAGGCTAACCCTCATTGAGGTTGGAGAGAATGGTCTTTCTTTTGTTACGTCCTGGGGTGTGTGTGCTCCTACCCTTTGGAGCCCCCCCCCCACAGGAAGTTAGATTTTCGTCTCAGGTACAAAACAGATAATACTAAATCCACAGCACATAAGAAGAGCCCTGCTGGATCAGACCAATAGGCCATGTAGTTCAGCATTCTGTCACACACAGTGCTCAACCAGTTCCTCTGGACGGCCAACAACAGCAGGGCCGGCTCGCTCACTAGGCGAGCTAGACTCTCACCTAGAGTGCAGGGCCATCATGGGGGCGCCGGACTGAGCCACCCTCCCCCCTGCTCTTTGCAGGAGCAGCCCTGGAGCAGCCCTGACAAGTGTTTGTCCAGACGCTGCTTAGAGACTGCCACAGAGGGGGTCCTCACCACCTCCCAGGGCAGCTGATTCCACCATTACACAACGCTGTCAAAAACGTTTTCCCAAATATCCAGGCGGTACCTCCCCGCCCCGCAATTCATGGAGGAAAGTCTTCCTTCTCTCCAGGCCCTGCCTGGAGGTTGGCAACCCCATAATGGGTGGGCGCACGGGGGGCGCGCCAGAAGGTAGCGTCACCTAGTGTACAAAAAAACCTGGAGCCGGTGAGCCGGAGGCTAAAAAACTGTGGGCTAGCTCACACTAACTCTGCTTAGAGGGAACACTGGACTAAACCCTCATTGAGTTTGGAGAGAATGGGGCCTTCTTTTGTTATGGCTCCTCCGACCCTTTGGCCTGTGCCCCAGGAAGTTAGATAGGCTTTTTCCCCCCAGGTGCAAAACAGATGATGCTAAATCCAGAGTGATTAACATACAGCAAGCACTGAGAATCACAAAACAGAGGGCCTAAAAACCAGGATCAGAACAGAACCCACCAACCTCACTAACAAAAGGTCAGAGCCCCTATCTAGTCTCTAAGAAATCTGCGACGACCCCCCCCCCCCCCCCCCCGGGGGGCGGGGGACAAAATTGACAACAATGAACAGCCATATGGCTGTTCAAGACCCACTGCGGCCGGGGTGAGCTCCCGGCCCTAGTCCCAGCTCCTGCCCACCCAGCGGTTCGAAAGCAAGTTAAAATAGCGAGTAGAGGTGTGTGGTGGAGGCATTGGCGGCGGCGGTAGAACATTGGCAGCGGTGCGACGAGGCAGCGGCGGCAAGGTCAATGGAGCGAGCCCTGGTGGCCAGTGAGCGCAACATCGAGTGGCTGAGTCGGATGATGGTGGAGCCGGAAGGCGCGTTGACGTGGAAGCGCAGGCGCGCCGGAGCCAGAAATGGACATAGCCGAAGCCGGAGCTGACATGGACCGTGCACTAGAATGGACTCGCCGAAGGTAGCCACCATGAAATGGAAAAAAGTCCTACCCCTGGACACCAGGACGGAAGCGCAGACCCGAAGACCGCCCAGAAGAAGGAGTCGAGCCGGAGAACAGCAAGCCCACCACCTGGGTGCCGGTAGGCAGCCCCGTCCCGTATTATGTGGCCTTAGTTAGGGAAGCAACATTAGAAACCTCTATGTAAACCGCCCAGAGACCCTTTGGGGTCAGGGCAGTATATAAGCCGAATATATAAATAAAAATAAATAAATAAAAAGCAGAAAGGGAATGAACTTCTTCGAGACAACCCAATGTCAGTAGCTGGTATTATATGGAGCTCGGCTGCATGGGCCAAACCAGTGTTGTGGGGTATCCTCGGAGGTCTCACACAGAAAGATGGAGTACTCTCTTTATCAATGTGAGAAAGAGGAGAGTTTAAAAATATATAGGGCATGGTTTCCTGTCCTGAAAAACACAAAATGTTCTATACCTTACAACAGCACTACAGATAAGATTAGAATTTCAACAGCCAATCCATATGCAAAAGAATCTCCTCATGAAAGCTCCTCCATTAGCACGTTCATACCTTGGGGAACACCTACAAGATCATGACTCAGCCCTACCCCACCTTCCTGAGTAGATATAAATTACCTGCCTACCATTTTTGTTCTCACCTTGACGCAGAGAGTACTCCACCTTTCTGCGTTATACCTCTGAGGATGCCAGTCACAGCTGCTGGCGAAAGGTCAGGACTTCCAATGCCAAGACCACGGCCAGACAGCCCGGAAAACCTACAGCAACCAATGAACTCTGGCCGTGAACGCCTTCAACAACATATTGAATACATCATTCTTCATATATGTTTCATATTCTGCTCCTCCTGCCTCCTGTCTAGAACTCAAAGTGCTGGTTTGGATTCCTAATGATGAACCTTTTTAAATGGCGGGAGACGCTCCCGGCAAACACACATCCCCTCTCTGCAGACTAAAGAGTGATGTACAAGCAGCCCTCGGATTTTGGACATATTCCTGAGGAGAAAACAAAGCTAAAAGATGCCCCATTAAATACACCCTCCTCACCCAGCAAAGCAGAACCTCCAACGCTCTCTTGCTTCACCTCACAATAGAGAAATCTCTGCCAAGGGACTAATGGCACCTCCTCTGCTCCCGTCGACAACCCCTGAAACAGCAGAGAAGAAATAAGGAAGGGATTAGAAGAAGAAGAGGAGAAGAGATTGGATTTACACCCCGCCCTTCACTACCCAAAAGGTGTCTCAGAGCGGCTTACAAACTCCTTTCCCTTCCCCTCTCCACAACAGACACCCTGTGTGGTAAAAGAAGAAGAGATTGGATTTATACCCCGCCCTTCACTACCCAGAGGTGTCTCAGAGCAGCTTACAAACTCCTTTCCCTTCCCCTCCCCACAACAGACACCCTGGGAGGTAGGCAGGGCTGAGAGAGCTCTGACAGAAACTGCTCTTATTCAAGGACAGCTTTTATCAGAACTACTGCTTGCCCAAGGTCATCCAGCCAGGTGCAAGTGGAGGAGTGGGGAATCAAACCCGGTTCTCCCAGATTAGAGTCCGCGCACTTAACCACTACACCACAAACTGGCTCTTCTTCCTGGAAGAAGAAGAGATTGGATTTATACCCCGCCCTTCACTACCCATAGGTGTCTCAGAGTGGCTTACAAACTCCTCTCCCTTCCCCTCCCCACAACAAACACCCTGTGAGGTGGGTGGGGCTGAGAGAGCTCTTGACAGAAACTGCTCTTTTTCAAGGACAGCTCTTGTCAGAACTACGGCTTGCCCAAGGTCATCCAGCCAGGTGCGAGTGGAGGAGTGGGGAATCAAACCCGGTTCTCCCAGTTTAGAGTCCGCGCACTTTTCTTGGGGGATTCATGGGAAAAGTGCTGAGAGTCGGTAATGGGCTGGATGAGGGTGAACAGGCTGAAACGTAGCCCTGACAAGGCAGAAGGGCTCTGGGTTAGTAGGAAGGCACATCGGGGACTCGAAAACTTCCTTGCCTCGGATGGGGCTACAATCCCCTGGAACAGTTAGTTTTGCCGCTTGGCAGTGCTTCTTGACACAGGTGGCTGCTGCCGTTCAGAGTGCTTTCGATCAGCTGTGGCCAGTGTGTCAGCTGTGTCCGTTCCTGGTTCAGTCAGGTTTGGTCACAGTGGTCCGTAAGAACATAAGAAGAGCCCTGCTGGGTCAGGCCAGTGAGGGTCCATCTGGTCCAGCATCCTGTCTCACAAAGTTCCTCTGGAGGGCAAGCAACAAGGTGGAGGCTGAGGCCTTCCCCTGGGGTTGCCTCCTGGCTCTGGGATTCAGACGTTTCGTGCCTTTGAATGTGGAGGTTCCCCTCAGCCACCAATGGCTGGTAGTACACTGATAGACAGGGCTATTTTTGGGCAGGAACGCACAGGAACGGAGTTCCGGCTGGCTCCCGAGTTGGCCATGCCCAGCAGGAAATCTTTAGCATAATAGGCCACACCCAACAGCAGGAACTCATTAGGATTGGCTACATTAGGGGTGTGTGGCCTAACATGCAAAGGAGTTCCTGCTACAAAAAAAGGCCCTGGGTTTTGACAACAAACAAGGTAAAGAGAATAAGAAGCAAAAGGTGGGTGTGGCTGGATGACCACACTTCTGGTAACATGGGGGTGTGGCCTAATATGTGAATGAGCTGTGCTGTCAGGGGTGTGGCCTAATATGCTAATGAGTTCCTGCTGTTGGGTATGGCCTATTATGCTAATGAGTTCCTGCTGGGCTTTTTCTACAAAAAGAGCCCTGCGTGATAGACATATCCTCCATAAACCTATCTAACCCCCTTTTAAAGCCGCTTTATTCCTTTGGCCACCACCCCATCCTCAGGCAGGGAATTTCTCATTTTAATCACTCTCTGTGTAAAGTAGGGTTTATTTTTGTCCATCCTGAAACTACTGCCCGTTCGCTTCACGGGTGCCCTCGAGTTCTAGTCTTTTGGGAGAGGGAGAAAAAGTTATCTTTGTCAACTCTCTCCACTCCAACCTCTATCACATCCCCCCCCCCTTAGTAGCCCCTTTTCTCAACTGAAAAGCCCCAGACTCTTCAACCTTTCCTCCAAGGGAAGGTGTGCCAACCCCCTCATCATCTCCTCTGTACTTTTTTCCAGCTCTGCAGTCTCCTTTTTGAGAATAGGTGACCACTGCAGTGTTCCCTCTAAGCTGAGTTAGTGTGAGCCTGCTCACAGTTTTTTAGCCTCCGGCTCACACATTTTTGTCTCAGCTCAGGAAGGGATGGCTCCAGAGCAAACTAATTTATGCAGCAGGCAAGTCACTCGGTTACAACTTTAATGCCAGTAGCTCACAAAGCAGAATTTTCGCTCACAAGACTCCACAGCTTAGAGGGATCATTGGTGACAGAACTGTACACAAATGTTCCAAATGAGGCAGTAATTACCCTGACTACTGACCTTCTCCCAAGCCAAATTTAAGGTGCTGGTTTTGTCCTTTAAAGCCCTATATGGTTTGAGACCAGGGTACCTGAAAGACTATCTTCTCCCATAAGTTCCTGCCTGGGAATCAAGATCACAGAATGTGGCCCTCTACACTATCCCTTTGACCAAAGAAGCTTTTCTGGTATGTACACAATCAGGGCCTCCTTAGTGGCAGCCCCATGGTTATGGAACTATCTCCACAGGGAGGTGCACCCGACCTCTTCACTCTCCACCTTAAGGAGGTAGCTGAAGATGATTGTATTTGGGACGGTATTCAGTTAGTATAGTTTCTCTGCCCATCAGCAGTTTTAAATTGTGGTTTTGATTCATGGCCTTTGACGTGTTTTGTGGATTTTTAGGTTTTATGTTCTGTTTACATTGTCCGCCGCCTTGAGTTCTGTAAGGCAGAAAGGCAACGAATTAATATTTTAAATGAATAAACAAAGAAGCCAGGCCTTTGAGGAGAGGGGAATTATGAGCGTATCCTTTCCCACATTTTCTGCCCTTTGTGATTCCCAGGAGGAAACTCTCTCACCTCGCCTTCCTGCTTCATATTCTCTGCCTGGTTTAGGAGGAAGCCTTTTGCCGGGGGCCCGGCCTGGACACTGGTCTCCAGTCCACATTCTCCGGCCCAGCTCTCCATCTCTGGGGACATGGCAGTCAGGATCTCCTCTTCTTCTGCCTGTTTCCTTGTCAAGGTGAGGGAGAGCAGAGCGGGTGGGGCCACAAAGACCAAAAAGGTGTTCTGTGAGCAGTCAGATTATGCAGAAAGGGAAGGAAGCCGACTAGGAGCTGAGAGTTCTCTCTGTAGGGAA